AGAAAGTTTGTAATTAATCTTTATAAAATTCTTCTTCTTCTTCTTAAAATTAGCCTTCGCAAAGTTGAACCGAGAACAAAGGTGTTGTGTATTATTATGAGCAAAGTTGGCTATGATTTCGATGTTAATTTCCAAAGCAGGATGATACGAGTTCTCTGGCAGAACCAAAGGATCACATCGCACAACAAAGAACATTGAAACGTTATCAACGGGAACCAGATCTAAGAACTTATCAAACTTGTTTGAAATTAAACTAATTTAGATAACCCCTTGACGTATTGCCACGAGTCTGACTCGTGGTACAATTTCTGTGCCTAAAATGCTTATCACGAGTCTGGCTCGTGGTGCGTAGAAGTGTACATTTGATGAAAAGAGAATTGAAATTTTCCCGTTATTTTAAGCTATTGTTTACATTAATACATTAAAAACATTGTTGCARTTGAGTGCATTTTATACTGTGTAATTATCCATATTTTTTGTTAAATTAAAATTATATCGTAGTATTTTATTATCTGTAAATTTGTAAAAAAAGCGAAGTTCGTAAGAATCAAAACTGGTTTGTTTAGTGCAAGTTGTGTGCGAACAGTTGGGAGCGAATTTTATTGCGCTAATTGATACGTCAAGGGGTTAAGACCCAAATCCGACATTTCATCTAAGAACTCATTAAAATATAGGCGGGTACTAACTGGAATGATGTAATCATCAATATTTTTCCATGATATAAACGGTAAATCGAAATCTCCCAAATCAGTATTATTAGCCATTGAGAAAACATTATTTATTAAAGAAGCATGCTGCATATACATACATATGTCTGAGTGAGGTGGTATATGAGATAAAGTAAAGTAGATATGGCCACTATTAGCGCAAATTCTAATGCACTTAAATTCTATGAAGCCTGTATGCGGAACATCGATTTCTTCAAATGGAATTGAAGAATGAACAGCAAACAAGACACCTCCTCCTTTTCTATTCAGCCGGTCATATTTAAAGATTTCGAATTCGCTGATGAATATTTCATTATCAAAAATGTGGGCTTTAGCCAAGTTTCTGTGAAAGCAAAGTTGCAATTAATGCTATTTAAATACAGCTCAGTAAGTTTTGTATTAAGACCTCTAACATTTTGATAATAAATACTCAGCGAAATATTATTAATCAGTTTTTTGTATCAATGGGTTTTCTTGGCATTTTAGTGACAACTACAGGTTGCTTATAACGTTTTTGCTCGTACTCGCGCACAAAGACCCCGGTCGCCGAAATATCTCTGTTGTATTTGAAATTAAATTTTCTGATGCCTGTATCGACCGTTTTTAATTTCGACGAGAAATAATTTTTTATGTCCAGTCTCTGACCATCTCTCGCGCTGGACAGGTATCTTTTTCGCTTACAAGTGTTCGTCTTTTGTTTTTGTTTTGCAAAACCGAAGTGCCTTAATTACTACTGTGCACTGTGCACACAATAAAATACTATTTTCTCAGACCATAAACCTATAGTGCCAAATATACAGTTCGTGACATAAAAAAGACAGGCCTCCGAGTGCCTTCAGATATTTAGCCGCGGTTTACCCCCCAACAACAACAATGCTCGACCAACCAATTTTACTGCGCAACGGGAAAAATAATGCCCAACCATTAATTATTTTTGACCACACAAAAACAATTCAACAAAAAGCATGTGGCCCTAAGTCTTTGGTTATCTGCAGAAAATTAAGTAACGATACACTCGCAAATGTGTCGCCTTTCTTAGCTAAAAAGGTAGTCGATTATACCGCCGGTAGTGAGGTGGAAACTCAGAAATGGTAACATATTAATTAAAACTAAAAACTACAATCAAGCCGAAAAATTAGATAAAAAAAAAAATTAATTAAAAAATTGAAATCTCCGAGCAAACTTCACTTAACTCAACTAAAGGTGTCATCTACTCCAACGATTTGCGCGGTATAAAAGAAGAAGAAATCCTCGATGAATTGAGAAACCAAAACGTAACAGAAGTGAAGAAAATACTTAAAAAGGAAAACAACGACTCACTGAAGGAACTAGTCTAATTATACTCACTTCAATATCTCTGCCAACTGAAATGTCAATAGGGTACGAAAAAATCAAAATTTGACCTTACATTCCACTTCCATTAAGGTGTAAAAAATGTCAACGATATGAACACATAGAAAAAATATGCAAAAATGCCAAAATATGCCCTAACTGTGCTAACGAATTTCAAAACAGCGAAGATAACGAGTAATGTGTAAACATAAAGGACTGCGTCAACTGCAAAGAAACCGACATCCAAACCTACAACCATCTTACTCAGCTGTCACCCGTAACAACTCTGCTCTATACACACAAACACAAGAATCGCCCGCTCAAGTAAGTTATGAAAGCTTACCTTCAGACGAAGACGTCACTCCTTCAACATCGAAGCCTTTGCCTAAACCCACCATACAGCGTTTAACCGAAAAAATACTTAAAAGTTTTCCCAGAGGTACTTCAAACAAAATGAAAGCTGAACTGAAATTACAGCACTCTGYAACTCGGAATTCCTAATCACCAAAACCAACCAATCACGATCTCGGCGATTCATCTGAATCTACAACAATGGAACTACAACAAGAGGAAGTCTTATAGATATATATGTATTACGCTAATGGAAGGCATATACGTACCAATTATTGTACCAATTTCATCGAGTTGTACAACTGATTGTTACGTGTATGGGGCAGTTGTATGAGTTGTGCCAAATGGTTAGATGAATATCAAAAATTTGTGATATTTCGGCAAGTTGGTTGTGTTAGTTGGATAGTGTTTGTGTTGGTCGTGCGATTTCAAACGATTTCGCCATTTTATTTCTGCTGTCAAAGAGAGCGCGTCTACGGAGCAAAGGACAAATAAAAATGAGTGAAAGCGATCGGCAAATGCGTGAATTTATCGAAATATATAAAACTATGCCGGAGTTGTGGAACAGCAAACTGGACTGTTACAAAAACAGAAATGTACGCAGTAGAAGTTACCAAAAACTTTTACTAGAATATAAAAAAGTAAAAATCGATGCGTCGATAGACGACATGAAAAAAAAAAACAGTCAAATATGCGTACTTGCTATCGCCGGGAGCTGAAGAAAACTTTGCAAAGTCAGACATTTGGTGTAGGAGCTGATGAGTTATACGTTTCACCTTCGACTTATTGCGAGACTTGGAAGTACCTATGCCTGCTGTAACATCYATCAGTTCGGATGAAGATGAAGAAGCGTCCGTTCGCGTAGTAAGTTGAAGAAACATTTAAAAGTTTTATTGATTTTATTTATGAGATTATGTTTTTTTACACAGCAATCGTCGAAGAAATTTAAAAAAGTGGTTACCGAAAGAACGGAGTTTCTAAAGAAAGCAACCGAGCATTTGGGGACATCCAAAAAACAAGTGGATGAAGCAGAAACTTACGCAAAGGCATGGGCTTGCATGTTCAGGCAAATGAAACCAGAGCAGCAACTTTTTGCAAAGCAAGCAGTAGACGAAGTAATGCTGTTGGGCCGATTTGGAAAATTATGTTTCAATTATCTGAACAGTCCTTCAAGCTCACCAAATTTCAGTAGTCCGCATGTATCAGAACCAGCTCGCCTTTTTTAAGTAATGACTCGCAATATTATATTTCGTCACCTTCTGTAAGGCCAACTGAATCAACATCACGCTCGGCACATTTTATTTCTGTACCAACAGTTCTATAAAATCCATATCACAYTCTCAACGATTCACTTCTGTGCAAACTGGAAGCTCCATACAACCAACATCACATTCACAACGTTTTATTGCTGTGCCAACGAGAAGTCCTATAGAACCAACATCACATTCGCAACGTTTTATTTCTTTTCCAACTGGAAGCCCCATACAATCAACTTCACAAACAATTGAAATAACTCCAGAGTTACACTTTTCAGATGCAAACGACAGTCAATATACAAGTGTTCTTGATCTGTATAATGCCTCGCAGTATCAATGAAATAGAACATATTAAGATAGAGTACATATATTTTATTTTATTTTTCTAATTTTTGTTTAAATCATTTTTTAGTTAATTATTTATGTATTAGTTTTAATAGAATGAGTATAAGTTTTATTTAAATAACACAACCAATTTAACTATTTTATATATAAATAAAAGGAATTAAAAAGATTTCAGTTTTTTGATAATTTCACAATATTTCAACCTTATTGTTTTGGCCTCATTAGATGCATTTCTAGTCAGCGTTGGTTCGATGCCTGATAGCTGAATATTTTCACATTCAAATCGATTTGAGTTTGACTGGCGCCGTAAGTAGTTRTGTAAGTAGCAACAGGCAAGAACAACAGTAGTAACTTTTTCAGGACATTAATTTATTGTCGTTTGAAGAAGTCGAAAACGCGATGCCAAAATACCAAAAGCGTTTTCAACTTTAACCCGTGCTGAGCTCAGAGTTTTGTTAAACAGCATTTCATTCTTTGTCAAATGGTTTTAAAACATTTTTCCTTAAAGCGAAAGCCGCATCCGACACAAACACAAAGGGAGTAGATCTTCGTCTGCAAGCACTGCTTATGGTTCCGGTAAATTTAAACTTCCACTTTCCAACGTTTTAAAAAATTTCGAATTTCCGAAAACTCCTCCATCGGAAATTCGTCCATTTGCACCTACATCTACCATTAAAAAGTTGGAGTTGCTGTCAACAATTGCCAACAAAACAACACTGAATGTCTTTTTATAAGTAAAATAGAATGAACCGGTATTAGGAGGACGTGAAATATTTATGTGCTTTCCATCGAGTGCGCCTAAACAGTTCGGAAACATTGACTACTCATAAAATTGATCAACTACAGCCATCCATTGCTCAGGTGTTTTAGGAAGCTAAAAATATATTTTGTGTTAAATAATAAAATGTATAACTCGAATATTCTTTTAATACTACCTTAATTGAGTGTTTTAGAACTTTTGTAATGGCCTCGCATGTCTCAATTACAATTTTACCAATCGCTTGCGCAGATATTGCGGTTGAAAATTTTAGGTCTTCAAATGAGTTTCCTGTAGCCAAAAATCTTAAAGTTATTGCCAAACGATTCTCTGCACTAATTGCTTCTCGCATTA